AATGAAAGTTATGAAAATAATAATGGTAAAAAAACTTAAATTATAAACAGACAATATTCTGGAATGCTGTAATGGATGAAAGTGTGTGTTAAATGAATAAATGTAAAATCTAAAAAATATTATCAAAATTATGATAATATTATTAAATGTAATTCAATACTGTACCAGAATTTTTTTTTTTTACAAAAGTAACAAAAAATTATTTACAATCAAACACAAAGTTATATTAATTGGTTTATTCTTGATTTCTAACTATGTTTATCCTCTTCAAACCTGTATGTAATGTATGTTTGTGTCGTATTTTCTTTTATCTTATGTAGTTTTGTTCATCTTTTTGAAGATAATATTATGTTGTTAGTTGCAATTGATTACATAGCTTACATAAGAATGATTACAAAAGATAACATAAGAATGAAGATTTTTCAAATTATACACACACACACACACACACACACACACACATATATATATATATATATATATATATATATATGTATATATATGTAACAGCTTTAATGAACTTATCAGAATAACAAAAGTAGTGAAATGTCAAAAGTTTGAATCATTTGAAGTGAATCATTTAACTTACAATTTACAGATGCAAAGGAGTGGAAAAATATGCTCCATTAAATGTCAAAGAACAAAATAAGCAAAGTAAGCTCTTTATTTAAAACAAAATCTGTCATTTTCTCTCATTTGGATGTGGTAAAACAGATGTAGCAGAAAACATCTGGCTCCTGTTTGTATTTCCTTCTGTCACTTCTGTCAATAATTCTAACCTTGAAATCAGGATTAGGCATAAAATACTGTCTTCAGAATCATTCATCACTGTAAAAAATAAGTGTAATTTTAACTGTAAAATTTTGTAAAAACGCTATGGAAAAAAAACTGTTAATAGGTTAACAGTAAGTTCCCGTACTATATACAGGGAAAAACTGTAAAATATCTAACCAGACATTTCATGTAATTTTACAGTAAAATGCTGTTAATTTTACAGTTTTTAGAAGTAAAAATAACAAATCAATGTATAATTTACAGTCAAAAACTGTAAACTTATATTCCCAGAATCCCCTGCATGACACTCCACATTTGAAGGTATTTGTTTAAATAATCATGTTTTTTTAATAGTTTGTGTTATTAGTTATGTATATTTGGGCTTTATGTTACATCTTCTGTTGTTTAATGAAAGTTTAATGCATTATTTAAGTATCATGTGTGTTACCATGATGGTGTTTTGTGTGTGCATGAATGACTCTGTGCACCTTCTATATATTAGTATACACTTCTGCTTGTGGCGAAGCTGCTTGTGATGAGCTTTGATTCTTCATGTGGCTTTCTCTTTTACCACCTGCATTATTATGGTGGTTGTCAGTATGTTAAAGGTACAAAACAGATTTTAATAGCAGTGTGCATTGTTGAATTTACTGGTTTACATTCAAATTTTCTTGTTTGTAAATTACAGTTTTATACTGTAAAATTTGTTTAATACCGTAAATGTGGTTACAGTTTTTCTGTATTTTTTTACAAAATTATTCTGGCAACCACAGCTGCCAAAATTATTTTGTAAAAACTACAGAATTTTTTTTACAGTGTACATGTGAAAATCAGCTGAGGATTGAACAAATAGTTGTAACCTGACTCAGAGGAAGACAGGGATCATGTTATTGTGGCAGTTTTTCTGCTTATTAAGGGAGAATGCACTTCTTCACCTTTCAAATGGCTGTCGAAAGCAAAAATGCTACGAAATGCATCATATTTTGTGAGAAAGTGACTTGCTTGTGTAAAACAGAAACTATTTTTGGAATCAGCTCCTCAAAATTGCTAAGAAACAAGTAATGGATTTCATTCAGCAAATATTGTTTTTCCAGCTGTCTGCAACTCTCAAAGCATGAATACAAAGATCTCCACAATAAGCAATAACACGCGGCTTTCCTTTGCACTACAAAGGACTCAACCAGGGTTTCATTTCACTATTTTGCAAAGCCATTGAACAGCAGAAGTAAAAGCATTAGGATGATAACAGTCTGTAATCCAGCAGTGTGTCTGTATAATCGAGCTCTGAATGAACACACACACACACACACACACACACACCTTACTGCAGGATTTAACCACCTTTGAAAGTCAGCAAATGAGGCGTCTTTTCCTGATAAATACTTAATTCGAAATTATGACGGCGGCAGCAGTAATCAGTTGCCCTAGTCGATTTCTCTCTCTCTTTCTCTTCTAAGAAAGTGATAAATTATGTATCTTTTTCTCTCGCAGGCTCTCACACGTCCAGGCAGGTCTGGGAAGGTCATGTGAGAATCGCTCAGACGTAACGGGCCAAATGACCGCAGTGAACGAGTCGAT